GCTCCCGCGCCTGCGGAGGGGCAAGGCCTGAGCGCTGAGGGCGGGCGGGCGGCGCGCCTGCGGAGGGGCAAGGCCTGAGGGCGGGCGGGCGGGCGGGCGGGCGCGCGCGGGGGGGGGGGGGATAAACGCTGCGCCGCCCCCGCACCAGCGACACCGGCCGCGGCTCGCCTCCTCAAATGGCAAGTACTATGACTACCCAACCTCCCTAACAAATTTCGCCACACCAACCCCATCCAAAACTCAAAAAAAAATCTCTTTCCCACCTAGGCGGGGCGGGGGTCGGGGGGGCGGCGGGCGCGGGTGCGAGGTGCGGTGCGGTGCGTGCAATCGTGTGTTTGGCAAGTCTAGCTCAAAAAAAATTCAAAAAAAATGATAGCTTTATGAGTTACCGGATCCCGCCGTGACAGCATGATCGATTCACATCGTGGCATGCTCGGCGCAGCGCGTGGGCCGCCACCGAGTGGCTGCCGGTTCGAGCCGACTTAGCTTAGTTGGCAGAGCACCCGCTCAGTAAGCGGGAGGTCGAGGGTTCGAACCCCTCAGTCGGCTTTTGCTTTTCCTTTGTTCTTTGTTCCTCTCTTCCTCCCTTTTGCCTCCCCTTCTCTCTTCCCTCCTCCTTCCCACTCGTCCTCTCCTTTCCTTCTCTGCTCCCTCTCCTTCTCTCCTGTCCTCCCTTTCCTCTCCTTCTATCTTCCCTCCTCCCTCCCTCTCCTTCTCTCCTCCCGTTCCTCCTCTCCTCTCCTTTCCTCTCCTCCTTCCCTCTCCTTCTCTCCTCCCTTTCCTCTCCTTCTCTCCTTTCCTCTCCTCCTTCCCTCTCCTTCTCTCCTCCCTTTCCTCCTCTCCTCTCCTTTCCTCTCCTCCCTCCCTCTCCTTCTCTCCTCCCCGCCTAAGTCTGGCGCGAGACGATGGCCGGCGGGTGCCACAGGGTCCGCAGCAGCCTGCCAGCAGGCCCGAGCGGTGGCTCGCGACGCGACCCGGCTGTGCCGCCTCCTCGCCGCCGACTGCGTGCAGTGAACGGCGAGCGAGTCGCCCGCGAGCCATCCGCCACAGCCTACCTGTTGCGACGCTCTGATCGGCTCTGCGACCTCATCGCCAGTTGAGCTAGGGAGTGTGGCGATGGCCGCCGCAAATGCGAACGCAGGATGGCGGGTCAGAAGCTGAGCCGTACAGCGGGCGGCGCTGTATGAGGCCAGAGAGGACAGGGCAGCACTCTCTGCCAGCTCTTTGGCCACGGACGGCGCGCGGCCTACCGGGCCAGCTCACGATACGACGCGTCGGGGTACGGGGCGATTCCACGGAGTTCTGCGGGCAAATGGCGGGCGCGCGCACCTG